AAATAGCAACGCTCATCTTGCCATATAGGACAAGTGAAAATTTGTGTATGCAATAATTTCGCCAAAATCATTCTGAACCTAACGAAAAAAATATATTTCACTGTGTTTGTTTAGTATTAAATTACTGTAAACAAATCTAAAATATATTTAGTTGGGTTAGGCTAAAAAAAATTGTTCTTGTTATAATAAGGTTAGGTAAGTTTTCTAAGATTCTTTTGGTGCAAAATTAACATTTTTTACATTAACATTAATGAAAAAAAATACATCTCTAAACGTATAAGAGAAAATTTTAGAAAGGACTTAATTTTAAATGAGTTCTTGCTAATTGACCAGTTTTACATATTCGGCACGATATATAATATATATATATATATATATATATATAATATATATATATATATATATATAATATATTATATATATTATATATATTTATATATATATAATGTCGTGCGAATTGGCAGAACTTGCGATCTTGGCTTAAATAGCAACGCTCATCTTGCCATATAGGACAAGTGAAAATTTGTGTATGCAATAATTTCGCGAAAATCATTCTGAACCTAACGAAAAAAATATATTTCACTGTGTTTGTTTGGTATTAAATTATTGTAAACAAATCTAAAATATATTTAGTTGGGTTAGGCTAAAATAAATTGTTCTTGTTATAATAAGGTTAGGTAAGTTTTCTAAGTTGCTTTTGGTGCAAAATTAAAAATTTTACATTAACATTAATGAAAAAAAATATATCTTTAAACGTATAAGAGAAAATTTTAGAAAGGACTTAATTTCAAATGAGTTCTTGCTAATTGACCAGTTTTACATATTTCGGCACGACATATATATATATATTAATATATATATATATATATATATATATATATATATATATATATATATATATATATATATAATATATTATATATATAATACACACTACACACACACGCACTCGAATTAGCTCGCTCGCTGTCTTGGAGTACACAAGCGTGTTAAAGGTAGGTGTGCGTGTGCACGTGCACACTACATAATTACCTGAGGTGTATAATTATAAGGGGATCCTAATTAAATAAGACTGATTAGCATGAGAGGGGCCAGCAGCAGCAGCAGCTGCTACTGCTGAGGTGATCTGGGGCTCACACCTCGCCTGGCACTAGTGACTGACTGGTGTTGACAGTTACTCGTACACCCAGATATGTGAGTACTGTGAAGTAACATTGAGGGAAAGTCGATCCTGTGCGTCTGTGTCTTTCTTTGCCTTTGTCTCTCTGTCCCTGTTTCAGATTTTATAAGTTCGAGCTGTATGTGATGACAGACTAATAATTTTCTCTTCCCTGCTTTTCCTTGATACTGTCGAAGATCTCTTAATCCAAGTAAATGAACCTGTCCTCCCTTCCCCTACAGCGAACTTGAATGCCTTCCATACCCCCACAGGTGCTGTACGACCCCCACGGGATTCCATGAATGTAATACCAATCTTCACTACTCCGTTTATGGTCACATTTGGATGTGCCACATATTAACTGGCTGAACATACGGGTCTTCAGTACACAAGGACGACCTCAAAATATTTATTTTCTATACGTTCACAGTATCAGTGATAGGATTGTTGAGATTAACACTGTACTCGGTATTAGAATGCTGAGAAATGAACCAGACACTTTCACAATGAACCTTACTAAATGTCTAGAAGTAAATACACACAGATCTAAATGAATTGTGAAAACGTGCAGTTGCATTAAGTTTTATAATCTGCGTAAACTGTATGACTGTAGACAACAAGAGCATTTCACCCCTCCATGGAAGATGTGTTCATTTAATATCTCATGCCTGCAAGTCCCTCCCAAGAAGCTCATTGCTAGTAATCCCTTCCTTAAATCACTTGTTAAAGCAACTGCTGAAGAAGAAATTTCTCGCCTAGCTGGTAGTAATAAGTTATCACAAGTTATATACACTGATGGATCTAAACAGGAGTCTTCTGGCAGGGCTGCATCTGCTCTTGTTGCCACCTCCCTAGTTAAGAACGATAATAAATTTGTTGAGTTAGGCATAAGAATTAACTGGGCGTCTACACTGCAAACTGAATTGTTTGCAATCCTAATGGCGCTAAAGCTAACCTATGACACTGAGCTTGACTATATCATCATTACTGATTCTATGTCATCACCGAAGGCTCTTGACTCGTATAATGACTCCAACAACATGCTCATTGGAGAAGCCAGGTATAGATACTCAAAAATCAGGGACAAAGGGATTAATGTACAATAGCTATGGATCCCATCACACATTGGATTACTCCTTCATGATAAAGTTGATATGTTAGCCAAGAAGAGTACGCAGAAGAAGAATGTAGAATATAACTTTGGTATATCTCTGTCTAGCATTAGGAATAATATGAGGAGAGAAGTAAACGAAAATGATTGTTATAGAAATGCAGTTAGAATCCTGAGTAGATCTATAACCCACTATGATAACATGAACGTAGATAAGTATGTTTATGGAGCAACTTGCAATGTGAACAGACTAACTGATGTTGTAGTGGCCAGGCTTAGGCTTGGTTACAAGTACTTCTGGCAGTTTGGGAGATGATCAAACTAAATGAAAATTATGTGGTCAGGCATATGGTTACTGTCTTGAACACTATGTGCTTAATTGTCCACTTGTTGAGGAATACAGAGGCAGACAGTATAATAACCTATGTGACATGTCAAGATATCTAATTAATGAAAATAAGATACCAGATATACTAAGCAAATTTCCTAAATGTGCTTGTAACAGATAAGTGAACTGTAGATATGTAGATATAAACCTATATGTACACTATGTTAACCTTTTTAGGGCCTAGCTCCTAGGCCTTTTATGTATCCCTATGCTCTTGCGCTACCGTCCACAGGATGGATATGGGGTGCACAATAAACTAGCCACTTCGGTGGCAAAATCTAAATCTAACAGTACACACACGCAGTGCCAGTGTTGTTACACCCACAGCCCAGAATCTCTCTAGTATATTATATATGTGAAGCTCTAAAGCTGTGTAGGTCATTGAGCTCAGAGAATAGTGGAGTCTGTCAGATTGTTATAATCAGAAATAAGCGTTAAACCACAAAGGTTATACAGCGGAGTCTGTCAGAGAGACAAGGCTCTGCTCTGGAAGCAGACGCACCAGACGCTCTTCTGGAGAATCTCGCATTTTGATATTTTGTATTGTATTATTTTGTGATATTTGTGAATTGCTCAAAGACGGCATCGAAGACAGGTAAATCTTACACACTACTACTTACCTTCAGTATACACATGCATTTGATTTCCTGTGCGTTTCTTAATAGTTATTAATCCTAGTCTGAAACTGGACTATGGGAAGATAATCCCCAGGAGTGGTTTAAGAAGACAAATTATAAAACATTAGAACAAATTTATTAGATAACGTTGATCAAGATCCCAGGACAGAAACGTTTTCTAATAGTGTTTGCTCGCGTGTCTTTTTTTTTTAAACCACTTGCCGGTATCAGTTACCAATTAGTATCAGTTGCAGTGCAACCATAATCTCTTGAACCACTACCTGACAACAAATACTGATGGAGTAACGTGTGTTGTTTTGTGTTGCAGCCGAGCCTGTACAGCGACGGTTCCAGGTTCCAGGAGGTGGGGACTGGCCCCGTGTACCGCTTGGAGATCCCCAACTGCCGCGTTGAGGACACTGGAGCCTACAGTATCCTGGCCAAGAATGACCATGGCGAGACCAGGGCCATCATCTCCCTACAGGTTTATGCCAAAGGTCAGTGGTTCTTCCTTTTCCAACTGTTTCAATCTGCTCAGCGGGAGTGTAGGAAGAATGGGAGGAAGTGTAGTGTGTGAGGGATTAAAAGGGAATAATGTGGGGGCGTGTGTGTGAAGTAGAGAGTGGAAGGAAAGGGAAGGAGAGTGGAACGGAAGGAGAGAAGGGAAGAAATGAGAGGAAAGGAAAGGTTGGAGAAAAGGAGATAGAAGCAGCTTGATAGTTTGCACGTCATCTTGTGATACAGATGCGTGTATCATCGCATATAATAACGTGGACAACTTGTTTTAAGATTAATAATACAAGTAACGTTCAGTATTCTGACACTCTTGGCAGTCACCTGATTTGCAATCTGCAGATAAAGTTCCATCTCTTGATTTGTTTATATTAAGGAAGTCGAGACGCATTTATGAGGAATTTTAATATGTAGGTGAGAATGTATCCTGAATCAACATACCCTGTGATCAGATATGTTGATAATTGTCTGTGGTGAGTTTTAAATGAATAAAATATGAAGAACTTTCAAAACAAGTCAGTGTAAATACATATTTGAGCGAAACTTTCAAAGTTCAGTTCCTGTATCAACGTCTTCACCTCATCCTTTGTTGTGCCCGTAGTATCCGGTCTTCTGTCTTTCTCTCCTCTTATTTTGTCCTCTTCATCGGTAAATACCTTCTTGAAACACTTGTTTGGTTCCTCACAAACCTTTTTGTCGTTTCATTAGTCCTCATGTTGCCTTAAGCACTCTCATTTGATCCCCTCACTGTCCTCTGGTGTGACTATGGAGTGGTACTCGCTTACATGGTTCGAGACACTGTCTCTGTATGTATGCTCTCGCCTAGTTAAATATATTGTGTGTTTGTGTAAGTATAAATGTGACTTTCTCCGTCAGACCTATATTAATGCTCGTCTCTTAAGCAAACCTTGTTCTTTTCCCATGCACATAATTCTCTCCCAAACATTACCACATTCTACACAGATATTAGTCTCCCACGTTCTTACTCCTACTCCCACGCATATATTAACACCCTTTCTCCCACCCAGATCTTACTCCCTGTCTGCAGTGTTTTTCTGTACACAGTGTTTAGAAGCTGACATCGCCATTGTACACATGAGTTGCACAAGCTTGTGTTTACACTGACTGTGAACTGTATGCAGGCGGCGGAGAGCTCGCGCCCCTTGTGCCCTTCTAAGAGGCAGTTACCAGAAGAATTTATCGAGGTTACTGCACTTGTAAGAGGCAACGGCGCGTGGATTGCCAGGGTGGTTTATTTGCATTTTTAGTGCACTTAAAATGAGGAGATAGCAAGCGCGCGCGCATGCATGCTTTTGTATGTTTGCTTATGCGAGCACGCATTAGTGCGCGCGTATACGGACTTTAACGTAGCTATGGTGTATGGAGTGCCTAGTGTGGGTAGTGCACTTACAAGTGGTCGTGATTCACAGAATGGCGTCTCTGTTCTTGGTGTTATGGACCATCCATGTCTTTCAGCACAACTCAGTTTCCACCGACTCTGGGTCACCTTATTATGGTAGAGGTTCGAGCAACTTGACAGCCCAGTATTCTTTCTTTTTTTCAACCTTTTCCCCAAAATTTTCTGTAGTTTATCGCCCACGACTTGAAATGGATTTCAGATATGGTATGACACGTGGTTAATAGTCGTATGCCGCCGCCATAAACAACTGACGCCGCCAATAAACACCACTGACGTCACTTGCTGCCTATATGGTCTAACTTTAGTCTCTGACTTGGTAGGAATACTGAAGATGTGAACTATGTTACACGGACTTCTGCCATCGCCGCCTCAGCTGACACTTGCCACTGACGCTGACGCCATCTACACCTAAATAGTGACTTGGAACCTTTTACTTGGAATGAATTTTGATATGTTTTGGAGTGCAATCCTTGACCTCTTGCTCTCCGCTGATGCCACTGATGATATCTGTTGTGTGACTTACAACCTCTGACGGATTGTATTCTCAATAGGTTTACGTCTTTATTGTGTTCATATTCTCCAGATTATACCTTAGTTTTGGTACTTGTAATTGGCATTAATAGCATGAACGTCTTCTGTTTGCTGCAGATCAATACTGATGGCCACAACTTATTATAACTTTGTTTTTTGAAAAGGAAGGAATGACTATAAGCGCTTCGTTAATTGTGCAACTCTCGTATCGCCACCTTGTCTCCCGTCGCAGAGGTGGTGACTGTATACTGAAGCAGAGACTAGCTTAAACACGCAGATCTAAAGCTCAGCACCAATTAAGATGTAATTCAATCCTGACAGCATCCTAAATGACTGTTTCTATATTGGAAGTTTGATTGTGTTGACTATGCTGTAGGAGACTGGCACTGACACACGAGCCCTCAATGCGGCGACCTCATTTGTTTCACACCAGGTGTTACTAGAGCGACACCTGCACCGTAAGTCGCGCAAAACGCATTACTGAGTACTGTAGAGTGCTGACATCTGGCAGGGAGAACCTGCAAGCATCAAAACAGTAATGGTGCAGTTCTCGGTACTATTTATACTCTGTGGTGTAATTACTGTAGAGTCAGGAGAAATAACCTCAATGATGCTACTATTTAAATCATATGTATTCACGTCTAGAATATTCTGTGCTCACAGCTTCGTTCAAAGCAGGAGAGATGCCATTGGTGGAAACTGTGGAGATCCAATACTCCCCGCGTAGTCAATAAAGCATTTAAAGTACCAGGAACCCCTCAGAGTACCTGGTGCTAGGTACCAAAACTACACACTGCCATAACGCCTTACTGGTGTGTGAGATATGGGAGGAAGTGTAAAATAAATGCAGTGGAAAAAAAAGGTGTTATATGTTTAATAAGAGAACACTGTGTCAAGACTATTCATCATTCTACCAGCAAATATCAGAACTATTGCCGCAACAAATGTGCAGATCTTCGAAAGAAAACTGGATCATTGCCTCAAGCCAGATCAACCAGGCTGTGATATCTATGTGGGCAAGCTGCAGCTAATAGCAACAGCCAGGTGGAACAGGCACTCAACAAGGAAGCTTAAAGAGAAACTTGGCGAGTAGGGCAGAATAGCTCTCGAAATAGGTCACGGGTATATCACAGGTGTATCATAACACAGGAGCGGGGAGGGAGGAGTGAGTGCATACGGATGTACTCGTTCCTTCCAATCTACACAACCAGTGTTTACTATTTAAGCGACGACTGTGTATCGTTAACAGCTAAAATATCTAATTTTCATCTCTACGGGGTTCGTTCAGAAATACACACGTAAATACGCCAGACAACGAAAAATGCATTTGTAGGGCGTGTTGACTACTGTGTTGTCGTTGTGAGTGCTTTCTACCCTCCCGCTTCTTTGTCAGCATCTAACTGGCGACATTGGTTCAGTTTTCCCTCTGGTAATAAGTTTAGTTGCTCGTCTAGCATTGTGTTTTCAGTTCAAGGACTGAAAAAGTTTCGCTCAGTTAACACGATGACTGGTCTGCTGACGCAGTTTTAGGCAAGAGAAAAAATACAGCGGAGAGAGAGAAGTAAGCAGAATCGGTATTTACCAAGCGTCTCGTCCTCTATCAGGCCGTGAAAGTAAGTTCTTGTACACACAAGGTGTGTACAAGAACTACTAGACTGTGTTCTTGTACACGCAGTTCTCAGGCTTATCAGGCCGTGAGAGTAAATTCTTGTACACAACTTGTGTGTACAAGAACTACCAGACTGTGTGTTCTTGTACACGCAGCTCTCACGAAGACAGGTCCGCAAGAGCGAATTCTTGTATTAACCACTCACAGCTCTTAGGACTACTACGCCTTGAGAGCCGTTTCTTGTATGTTTGTCTACATTTTCCATAACTATTAGGCCATCAGTGTGTTCTTGTACACTCAGCTGTCAGAACTATCAAGCCGAGAGAATTTTTATTCGTCAGGGAAAACAAAAAATCTGATAAAGGGCTATGTGATCAGACGACTTGAAAGTGGTGTGGGTCGTATAGCGGGGGCGCGACAACCCTGTAGTCTGAGGTCCTGTAGTCTGATGGTCCAAGTCGTACCGAAACGTCGTCGTAAGCTCCTCTCGTCTATGTGCGGGTTATCTGTGTATTGTTCCAGTCACGGTATTGTGCCTTTTTGCCATTTCTGTAGTCTGAGGACATTGCTGAAGGTTGTTAGATGAGCCGATGGTGAACAAAGGCTAGCGACAACTGGCTTACTTCTCGCGCAGTGTTTTGAATGTGTTTTAAGCTCTCCATTAATTTCCAAAAGTTGAATGTCTTGGTGTGTAGCCTGGGCGTGATCAAGGTCCCAGAACCGAAATGTTGTCTAATATGTAATAGTGTTTGCCCATATTTTTTTTTAAACCACAAGGACCCCAGTGGAAATAAGTCACTTTGACCTTTTTTTGGGGTTATCCTAGATATTCTACACATACGATGTTGTGTATGATAATTTATGTAAGTATATTTATGTGTACCTGTACCTGAATAAGCTTATTTACTTACTATTTACTTATTTACCAAGGTTAATACCCGCTGGTGTGGACGGAAATAAGACTTACCTTCAGACCTGCTAATACCGCTTCATGGGGAAAGGATGACACTCTTACAAAGCAAATTAATTAATATAAAATCTTATAATTTTCAGTATGTTTGTCATTATTAAATTAATTTTGTAAACTTTTTATTAGTTGTGGGAGAGAACCCCACATGGAGACAGAATGGTATATTTTGACCTCCAACTGGGGTCCTCCTCAGCAGATCTGGTGAAGAGGTCTTTATGTAGAATCATTCTCACTCGGGTACACTAGTATTTTATTACTTATCTCTCTCTCTCTCTCTCTCTCTCTCTCTCTCTCTCTCTCTCTCTCTCTCTCTCTCTCTCTCTCTCTCTCTCTCTCTCTCTCTCTCTCTCTCTCTCTCTCTCTCTCTCTCTCTCTCTCTCTCTCTCTCTCTTTCCTTCCTCTTTTTTCCCTCTTTCCTATTTTCTGTCCCCTCCCACCCCGGTACCTAAAATTTTCTATTGATCTAGTTTTGCCGTTGACAGTGTAATGCGTTAATTTACTTGTTTTTCTTGTTGCAGGCCTAAAGGGTGAACTGGAAGGAAGGCCCATAAAGAGAGGGTGAGTAACTGCCTGGTTTAAGTTATTTTAGTGTGGTGTTTCCTGCTTGGCCCACTGCCTTCTGTTTATAAGGTATGTGGAGAGTTATGTGGCTCCTGCTCCTGCTGTGTGGTAGAGACCGGCTCATCATCGAACCACCAGTGTTCAATTATGGGAAGAGTAGAGATGCATGGACAGAGTTTCTTCACCTGCAGCCCCCCTCAAGGAAGGTTACTTGATGTTGGTGAGGGGCTCTTGATTTAGGGAATTGGATCTGTGCTCCAGTTCCCCGAATTAAGCCTGAATGCCTTCCACATCCCACCCCAGGCGCTGTATAATCCTCCGGGTTTAGCGCTTCCCCCTTGATAATAATAATAATTCACCTGCAGCCCATGTTCACGTAGAACAGTAAATTGGTACCTTGGTGTTAGTAGACACACTTGGGTCGCATCCTGGTAAGGGAGTGCAGTAACATGAGGTGGATGTCAGTGTGTAAATTCAACAGTGTAAAAAAAATAAGTTTACATCTGGATGATCAGTCACTTAAGTGATAGAATGACATAATGGTTTTAGTCGACTATTTGTAGTGGTAGTTCAGTGAACATAAATGTGTGTTGTGAGAGGACATTGAAGACTATCATGAAGTCGTAGCTTTATAGTGTTTATCTCCACTATCCTCCTCCCTAGTAGGTTTAGCGCTTTTTTTTATTATAATAATCCATTATCCTCCAAAAGTCTTAGTATAATCTTGATATACTAGCACGTAAAATAATTGTAATAGAAGTAAGAAGAGAAGTAGGCAGATGGATCTTCAACACTCAGACAATATGTAAACTCAGAGAGAGTCACAGTAAAAAGCTCTGTTCCTCAAGTCACAGTACTAACCATCTCCTTAAACTCCATACTGGACAGTGATAAAAATACACATATAACACTATAACATCCTTCGCAGGCGATACTGTTTGTATTGTGTGCCAACCATCGAGGCCACAACATACATTCGACCAATGCAGGGGGCCACAAAAACTATGATGTATAATGAGGGCAAATTTCATTAAGATGCCCAGATCACTAGTTGGTTCTCCTTCCTGGGGAAACCAGGTTTTATAATGAATATAATCAACTAATTTGGTCTTCGTGGAAAACCTTGTTTTATGATGCCATAGCGATGTATAAAAAAAAACGTGAAAGTGGTGTTTCCACGGGGTCACCGAGTAGCAGTAGATGGTGGGAATACCTTGAGGGGATCAGTTAGGGCGCGAGTGCTAATGTCAGTCAAGTGTTTTGAAGGTACATGATGGTGCATTTTTAAAGTTGATCTCCGCCTTTCTCTTAATGGCATAAGTTTTTTTTTCCTCGACCAGGTGGGGTGATGGAGGATACTAGAGGCTTACCTGTAGGTAGTAGAAGTCAGCTTATGAGAGAGTGAAAGGTATAAAAAAAAACATATACGTTTGGATACTTTATTAAAGGCTAGGTTTATCTCGCCAGGAGCATTAGTTTATATAACTGGTTAGAGTGAGGACATGCATATAGTGGACAGGCGAGGTATAAGAGCGGCACCAGAGCATGAAGGTAACAACAAAACCTTAACAGTGAAATTGTACAAATAAATGAACAAAGAATAAAATATTAGTGATTCGTAATTACCTAAATAAAATTTATGAAGATATCTTCATCGTTAGAGTTCTAATCTATGTTTATAAATATTGAATTTGGACAGAATGTGCATTCGTTGTTTCAGTAGATATCCTTATTTATCAAGTTTTGATCCCTAAACACTGTTCTGCATCCTTATTGTAAAATGATATACAAGGTGGGAACAGAAAGTTATGCTTGCTTGACATATTCAATCACACAGGGTGGATTCCAAAGTATTGAAATATGTCAGCCAAAGCCGAGATATTTCAGTATGGCAATGAGAATATAAAGTATTCCAATAAGAGTTAAGCAGGTTTCCTTCCGGCAGACTTGGGATTATTATTACTTAGGAATTATCATCTATCAGGATGGCCTGTCCCATAAGCAGGGTAAATGGAATTTTGGTGATATATCCATCAGCACGATATGTGGAGATGGTGGTGGGGGGTTGGCAACAGTGGTGGTAGGGGAGGAGGGATGATTATGAATAGACGACTGTTCCTAGCTGCAACAGTGGCGGTTCATTGTGGCCAAGGATCACTTGACGGATCCGTCACCATCTTGACAGCTACCTCCTGTTTCCTCTTTCTCCCACCTTCCCACAGACACCTCTGACACTCCACATCTCTCATCCAAATAACCATGTCTATTTTTTCTCACCGACACCCCCACCCATTTTTTTCTCGACACCCCTTAGTTACTAAACGCATAGTGGAATACTTCTTCGTCCTGCTGAAGTTGTGCACAATAAACTAGCTGCTAAGGCAACGAAATATAAATCTATTGAAGTGTTTTATCCCTGGCCATAACTGTTACAGCCCTGTACCTGCTTTCGAAGGTTTTTCTGCCCTCTCAGGCCAGGCTTTTGGTTGACCAATTGGTCAGCTAGGTTGTCTGTGCTAGCAGGCTGCAGGCTACCATAGGCATTAAATCCCAGTTCATCCAGAATTTGCACGAAATACTGGTCCATCTTCTTGAAAACTACATTCGTTCAAGTAATATTTCTGATTTCTGGTGATACGTTTAATCTTGAACCACGGATGTTGACAAATTGTTCTTTAATTGTACTTATTCTTCACTGGGTTTATTCTTTCTCCTATTTTTCACTCCAGTAAATTGTTAGTGTAAGTATCTCCTCTCCGTTCCAGAGAGAACAAGTGCTCTGAGGCGTTCCCAGTAGTTTGTGTTTTATATGCTGGCAGTGTACTTCTGTACATTTTCCAGCTGTCTCCGGCCATGAAAGGCGATGCGAGCACAGAATTATTGCATATTTAAAGTTGTGAGAACACCGCTGATTTGAAGTCGCACTGGCGTTGCTCCACTTGCTTTGAAAGTTCTCCTAATCAACCCTGTCATTTTTCTGGCCTTTGCTCTATTTGACTTGTTTTATAAATGATCTGCCTGCATTCTGTGTACTCTTGTCATAATTTTATTCTTCATATATATAACCGGTTGAAATCTGCCACCATTCATTATCATGTTTTTATTTGCTTGTTAGAAAACATGATTTTTTCTTGTCTTCTACTGAGGCAGTTTTCTTACTTATTTTGATATTGTCTTCACAAGATATGAAGATGACAGTAGTGTTGTGTGTGTTGCCAACACCTGTCCACTGAACGTTTTTTGCTCCTTGAAAATCTGAAAATCCATTTTTTCTGCCTTTACTATTATAACCAGATTTCATTATTTAATACATGCAATCCATTCTTTATGATGGAATAATACATTGAAACATGGCTAGAGTTTGTTCCCACAATGTAACTAGCATCTAGAATAGTGTAGCAACACACTGCAAATCTAATCAAATTTGCTTAATAAAATACATCCTTAAGGCTACATCATGACGTCGTTCCGTTGTCTCGGTTAGATTTTCCTTGGATTATTTGTTTTTTTTCAATAATTATCGGCAAATATTTTCAACAAGATCTGCTCGGTCTTAGCATATTCATTTTTTCCTTCTAGTATATCCCTATTTATCTGTGTTTTTAACCAACTTTTCTTTAGGTGGGTTTATCCTCTGGGCCCAACTTTTAGCGCCAACTTCCATCTCCCTCTTCACACTTCTAAGGCGGCATCTCTCTTACTCATTCCTCATCTCCACTTTTCTCTCAAGCTAAAGACTTCTCCATCATACCTTAAGAAGATCACAGATCTTGAAGTCTTCAAATTTTTTATCTCGAGTGGCACTGGGTTGGGGGATCGCTGGATGTATTAGGAATTACGAATGTTCAGTGGACATGAAAATTTGTCATGTGTGGGCTCGCATTAGCAGAGTGCTGGACAAAAGCTTTCCTTACCGTGGTTAATGATAGTGTGCGCATGTCCCGTCTCCGCTGTTTGTTTACCTCTGCAGGTGCTGAGAATTCGTCTGTATTTTTCTGCTGTCTTCGTGTCTTTAAGTTTTCAAATTGATGTGGTTCCTTGAAATAGGGAGTTCATAAATGGTTAGCCACAGTAAATTAGTGGTATATAATTAGTTATTACTACCTATATATTCATGGAAAAACACTAACCCTGAGAGTAAGACAGCCAGGGGAATGGGAAGTAATAAGGTTCGATCCAAGGAAGGGAAGTCTAGCTCTCATTCTTTGGATCAAAATCCCTTCAGGATATAGGCACCTGCTTTCAAAAGCAACATGATTAAACAGCATTCGTACGGTCATCCCGCCGCTATAATACAGTTTATTGGGAAGCACCACTCGACCTGAGAGTAAACATACTGCCATAAAAGCAGTCATTACAGCTTAATTAGTTGACGCACTTGAGTGGTATCGTCTCTGTCTTGGGTTGTTTCCGTACACAAGTATCACTAACACTTAAAGTATCATTATTCGCAAATAACGAAACTTGCTAGAGGAAGCTTAAGACGACGTGTCGATTTGTTCTGAACTTTTATCAAGTCACAACTGAGTTTGCTTATCTACAGACGTGTCCACCTCAAGTTTGTTTTACCTACTCTTAGTATCGAAATACAGAACATTTTTTTTTTTTTTTTTTGGGGGGGGAGGGAATTTCCATTTAAGTAGGAAATTCATCCAGTTATACCATTATATAACCCGTCATTAAAGACGGACAGTGAAATTGGCCTCGCAGTACTTCACGTGACTCCGGGCCATTCAGATAGCTGAGTCATGTTGGTCGATAGTAAAGTTGTTTTGACTTGATAATGGTCGAGCACGGTATGAAACGTCTAACGTTTCCTTTTAAAATTGTGGGTTATGGATTCGCTCTGGATAGAGCCTTGTCAAGTCACTGTAAAATTATCCAGAGTGAAGCGTTTTAAAATATTTTACTCTGCACCAAGCATCCTTCTACCCTAATTGTCGGCAGTACTTGTTATTCAACAAATTATGGGTTAATTGTGACTTATTCCAGTCAAGGTATTATAATTATTTATTCTTGTTCTTCAGTAAAGTATAGCCATGTAACTTCTTCCTCTCGTGCAGCGTGATGGAGCACGTGCCAGTGGTGACACGGGCGCTGCAGGACGTGCGTTGCTGTGACGGTGACAGCGTCACTCTTGAAGCCCTCGTTGATGCCCCCAAGACCTCCCTCGTCCGCTGGGAGAAGCAGGGCAAGGTAAGATACCCACATCAACTCTTTGTAAAGAAGTACTTCACAAAATCCCCGGTACAAAACCCTCTTGCTTTCCGACTCTCTGTAATACTTCACAAAATCTTCATTATAAAAATATACAAGCCTCTTGCTTTCCCTTTTTACTATAAAAAAATAATTACTATCAAATTTACAGATACTTCTAAAAATGTTTTATCATATTACCGTCTCTCCTGACTTTCAGCGTATACATTTACGCTGCTTGCACTCTTTCTTCGTAATTCGCATTTCTTAATTTTGTCATATATTTTGTGGCGTGTCATCAAACTTTTTAAAAATTTTAACTAGTTTTTTGTGCGTGTTGAAGCACTTCAACAGGGTCACATACACCAGTTTTGGTCCTAAGTGTTTTAAAAACGATAATATTTAATTTTTCGTGGAAGATGTTTGAAACCTATTGTTAGAATGTTACTATCGCACAAGTTTTTCAATGTATTTACAAGGTTTTCCCGAGTCTTTTGTGTTCAATGTTCTTGAAATTTCATCACGCAATATTTATTTAATGGGACCTATTTCCATTTTTAGCCATGTGCTTTGTTATAAGCATTGGTATACTTTTATCATTATTACATTCATCGGGCAACGCTAAACCCACAAGTCATTCAGCGCCTGTGTGACACACGTTTTAAATGTTTGGATGTGTAGAAACTAGGTAAAAATATAAAGTAGTAAACAACGTGTGGATATGTTACACCGGGCAGTAAAGGAAGGAATGCATATAAATGACCTCATAGGGGACAGGAGCCGTAGTGGGGAAACAAGTGTAGTCAAAGATAAGATAAAACCAATATTGCAAACAAGAAATACAACAGGAAATAGCAAACAAGAGGATTCCACTAGCAATAGTGAGGATATATTACCAAAAACAACTGGTGGGAGCTCCATTGTTGGTGCTAGGGAAGATAGGAATAAGACAGGGAAACATGCACCAACAGGGAATACAGTCACAGAAACCCAAAGCAAACGGAAACCAAGCCTGTGCACATACTATGCACTTGGTATCTGCAGACATGGGAAATCTGGAAAAAACAGATGGGACGTGCAACTATGACCACCCTAGAAAATGCCGTGCCCATATGACAACAGGAAAATGCAAACTCCCTTCCTGTAAGCTTTTTCACCCTGAAATGTGTACCTCTTCAGTACAGGAAAGACTGTGCTATAACTTAAATTGCCAGGCACACCATCTAGAGGGGACAAAAAGATACAAAACATCCAGGCCATGGGAAAACCTGGGTAGCCACAGCCACTCAAGAGGGAGAGGTTTTTTAGTGCCAGGAAGGAAAAAAAACTGGCAGGAAATGGCAGAAATTGTGCACCAAATCCAGTCATTCCTGGAGTGGAACCACAGTCGATGGCCTCCACTCCAAACCAACAGATACAGATACTAATGCCGGAAAAAAAATCCCCCCCCCAGTACCAACAATACCACCAGTCCGATGACATTCTTCTTTGCAAATATACAGGGTCTAAAGCCAGCAACAAACAACAAAATACCTTTCATCCGTGGACTGCTTGCAGAGGCAAAGGCAATGTTCGCGGATTTCACTGAGACCCACATAAAGGATCACTTAGACAACGAAATATGGATCCCAGGTTACAACCTATACAGATGTGACAGAGTGAACAGGCAAAAGGGGGGGAGGGGTTGGCCTGTACATTGCAGAGTCACTTGTTTGCACAGAACTGCTTAATGCCTCAAATGATGTAGTGGAAGTTTTAGCAGTAAAGGTCGAGACCAAAACCTAGTCATTGTGGTAGTCTACAAGCCTCCGGATGCAACAATCCCAGCAATTCCAGGAACAGCTGTTAAAATTGACCACTGTCTGGAAAATCTTCCAGCTCCTGCACCAACATCTTGCTCCTGAGGGATTTCAACTTAAGGCACCTAAAATGGAGGAATATAGCAAATAATATTGTTGCAGTAATAACACAGGAGGCAGCTCTGATGAAAACTCACACTCACATGAGCTTTTAAATCTCTGCACAAATTCAATTTAAAACCAGCAAATAATAGAGCCTACTAGAATGGAGAATACACTAGCCCTCATCTTCACTAACAATGATGATCTGATAAGAAATGTCACCTATCAAAACAATATACTCAGATCACAACATAATTGAGGTTCAGACATGTATGCGCAGAGCCCCAGACCGACAAAATGAGATTAGTCACGAGGAAGCATTCACCAAATTCAACTTCAATAACAAAAAACATAAAGTGGGACCAAGTAAACCAAGTCCTAACCGATATAAGCTGGGAAGATATACTAAGCAACACAGACCCCAACTTATCCCTAGAACAGATTAACTTGGTGGCACTCGATGTATGCACAAGACTTATTCCTCTAAGAAAAAGGAGGAGTAGATGTAAAATAGAAAGAGACAGGCGCTCTCTTTACAGGCGACGGAAAAGAAAACAGAGCAGCTAAAAGAGGTCAATCTATCTGAAATGCGTAGGGAGACACTGGTCAGAGAATAGCAAACATCGAACTTAAGCTAAAGGAATCTTATAGGAGTCAGGAATGGGCGGGAAGAACTAAAAGCCATAAATGAAATCGAAAGAAACCCAAAGTATTTCTTGTCCTATGCCAAATCAAAGTCGAGAACAACGTCCAGTATTGGGCCCTTACTTAAACAAGATGGGTCCTACACAGATGACAGCAAGGAAATGAGTGAGCTACTCAAGTCCCAATATGACTCAGTTTTTAGCAAGCCACTAACCAGACTGAGAGTCGAAGATCAAAATTAATTTTTTATGAGAGAGCCACAGAATTTGGTTAACACAAGCCTATCTGGTGTTATCCTGACGCCAAATGACTTCGAACAGGCGATAAATGACATGCCCATGCACTCTGCCCCAGGGCCAGACTCATGGAACTCCGTGTTCATCAAGAACTGCAAGAAGCCCTATCACGAGCCTTTACCATTCCTATGGAGAGGGAGCATGGACACGGGGGTCGTCCCACAGTTACTAAAAACAACAGACATAGCCCCACTCCACAAAGGGGGCAGTAAAGCAACAGCAAAGAACTACAGACCGATAGCACTAACATCCCATATCATAAAAATCTTTGAAAGAGTCCTAAGAAGCAAGATCACCACCCATCTAGAAACCCATCAGTTACACAACCCAGGGCAACATGGGTTTAGAACAGGTCGCTCCTGTCTGTCTCAACTATTGGATCACTACGACAAGGTCCTAGATGCACTAGAAGACAAAAAGAATGCAGATGTATTATATACAGACTTTGCAAAACCTTCGACAAGTGTGACCATGGCTTAATAGCGCACAAAATGCGTGCTAAAGGAATAACAGGAAAAGTCGGTCGATGGATCTATAATTTCCTCACTAACAGAACACAGAGAGTAGTAGTCAACAGAGTAAAGTCCGAGGCAGGCACGGTGAAAAGCTCTGTTCCACAAGGCACAGTACTCGCTCCCATCTTGTTCCTCATCCTCATATCTGACATAGACAAGGATGTCAGCCACAGCACCGTGTCTTCCTTTGCAGATGACACCCGAATCTGCATGACAGTGTCTTCCATTGCAGACACTGCAAGGCTCCAGGCGGACATCAACAAATCTTTCAGTGGGCTGCAGAAAACAATATGAAGTTCAACGATGAGAAATTTCAATTACTCAGATATGGTAAACACGAGGAAATTAAATCTTCATCAGAGTACAAAACAAATTCTGGCCACAAAATAGAGCGAAACACCAACGTCAAAGACCTGGGAGTGATCATGTCGGAGGATCTCACCTTCAAGGACCATAACATTGTATCGATCGCATCTGCTAGAAAAGTGACAAGATGGATAATGAGAACCTTCAAAACGAGGGATGCCAAGCCCATGATGACCTCTTCAGGTCACTTGTTCAATCTAGGCTGGAATATTGCTGCACACTAACAGCACCTTTCAAGGCAGGTGAAATTGCTGACCTAGAAAATGTACAGAGAACCTTCACGGCGCGCATAACGGAGATAAAACACCTCAATTACTGGGAGCGCTTGAGGTTCCTGAACCTGTATTCCCTGGAACGCAGGCGGGAGAGATACATGATTATATACACCTGGAAATCCTAGAGGGACTAGTACAGAACTTGCACACGAAAATCACTCACTACGAAGCAAAAGACTTGGCAGACGATGCAAATCCCCCCAATGAAAAGCAGGGGTGTCACTAGCACGTTAAGAGACCATACAATAAGTGTCAGGGGCCCGAGACTGTTCAACTGCCTCCCAGCATACATAAGGGGGATTACCAACAGACCCCTGGCAGTCTTCAAGCTGGCACTGGACAAGCACCTAAAGTCGGTTCCTGATCAGCCGGGCTGTGGCTCGTACGTTGGTTTGCGTGCAGCCAGCAGTAACAGCCTGGTTGATCAGGCTCTGATCCACCAGGAGGCCTGGTCACAGACCGGGCCACGGGGGCGTTGACCCCCGGAACTCTCTCCAGGTAAACTCCAGGTCTCCAGTTATGTCCCATCTCGCCTAAGCGGGGGTCCAATACTGGATGTTGTTTTTTCCAATATCCTTCATGGCTTTTAGTTCTTCCTGCTATTCTTGTCTCCTGTAAGATTCCTTCAGCTTAAGTTCGGTATTTGCTATTTCATTGACCAGTGCCTCCCTTCATATTTCAGATATATTGGCCCCTCTCAGCAGCTCTGTGATTCTTAGCTTTCATATGTATAGGGAGCGTCTCTCTCGCTCTAGTTTGCATCTCTTTCTTGTCAGTTATTCTGCAAGAAATCTTCGAAAACAAATAAGTATGTGTGGGGAGGGAAGGGTATCTCTCTCTCTCTCTCTCTCTCTCTCTCTCTTTCTGTGTCACATACACACAACACGTGTACGTACACGTGTCCTCCTCCCCCAACATGGACATAAGAAATCCTAGTTTGCTCCTGTGATTCCCCCACATGTACACACTTGCCCCTCCTAACGTACTCGCGTGACACTTCCCCCAATCTTTACCAGCACACAAACTTATTTGTGTATTGTTCCAGTCACAGTATTGTGCCTTTTTATTCTTTGTAATATTCTCTCACATGTACACGTGAGATCTCCCCCCCCCCCACACACACACACGTACACTATGACAAACAAAGTGTGCGCTAGATCACGACTCTCCTCGCGCAGGTCAGCCATTATTGTGACCTGCCTGACCTTCTCTGAGCCAAATTAACTGGGCAATGGAGTCATGACTGTGGTGAGTGTGGCTGGTGGCGGGGCGCGCCTGGTGGGGGCCACAGGTCAAGCATGTGCACCAATATAGCAATCCAAAGAGACACTGATGACCAGAGTGCTCATGGCGAAGTGATCATTAAGATTTTACAATTTACCGTGCTAGTCCTTCAAAGACGCTGTGTGACCTAAAGTTTTAGGGCTTTAGAATCATAGTATTAATACATCGTTAATAGCGGAAAGTTTTATGCCACAATTTTCCAGTGTAACAAAACTTATACTGGGGTTGTTTTTTCTGTTTCAGGAAACCCTTAAGCCCATTAATGTTATTTTAATGCTGTGTCGCTGGTTTTAGGTTCTAAAGCTTGGTGGGGATGTGGAGAGCGAGTGGGACGGGTCCAGGGTGAGGCTCAAGATCCATGAGGTGTACCCGGAAGATGAGGGAGAGTACTCGTGCATTATCTTCAATGACATGGGCAAGGCTGTCACTTCCGCCACCATCGTTGTCGAGAGTAAGTGCTGCGTGTATTGGAGCGTCACCTTACTTTCATTCCTGTTCGTAGGATCCTGGAATAAAAAGACTTTAAATACTTTTTATAGGTTTCAAAGTTCATATATTAACATTTGGAAGCTATTCATCTTGCTATCACTATTTTGAAGTAATAGTTGGAGTACTTAGTTCAACATGGGAGGCTTGTCTGGAGAATTCCAAACTGTTCATAGTACGAGTTTGGAAAACAGCGACCCATTATATAGGAACTAGAATCTTGCGTTTACATGTAAATGAACTAATGTCTCTTTACCCAGTGGCTGACGACAAGGAGAACGACGTTACTGTGCAGTTGGAACATCGACCAGACCTCTCCCGCAGGACCACGCCCTCCAGAACCAACACCCCCTCCAGGTTTTCGCGCTCGCCCTCTGTAGGCTTTCAGCGTAAGTTCTGGGCACTATGGTTACCCCATATGAAATTGTTTTCTGTAGATAAGTACATTTTCTTTCTTCTCTCGCCGTTACTATTGTAAATCCATTATATACAGATGTATAATTAGTTACCTAGTAAGCTTTATGAAGTAGTTCAGAATACTAGCTAGTTAGATATCCTGCTAAAGGATAATTGAAATTGGCTTTTTTTCATAAGATTGCACAGTCAATATTTTGCACAAACTTCGTTATTTTAGAATCGATGGCATCAAATGTTACTAATATCACACCTAATCTATAAATTGGAAAAAAAAAATGAGCGAAGTTTCCATGCATCTTAGACCCATATCAAGTTTTATTTTTCTAGTTTGTAGGCTGTATGATTTCTTTCATCCACGATATTGTGACTGATTCTTCGTTATTGTGTTTTTGATAATTAAATTGTGAATGTAACTGATTCTATACAAATCAAAGTTTCACTGTTGCTTTAGTAGATCTGTTTGTGATATTTTAGCTGTTGACAGTGTTTAATCCAGACTGTAGCTCTGTGTTTCCGTATTGGGATCTAGCTTGCGTGTATATAGCCTTATGTATATAGCTGTACATACATTGTGGGGAAATTATCAAAGAATAAGGAGTAGCCCACAAATGTTTTATGTCATGCACACTACTTACTGCTACGGGTTGTGAAGGTTGCTTGTGCTTGCTTCAGATGTGTAAAGATTAGTGTTAAGCTTGTGATGCGAGGCTAGTGGTGGGATAACTTCATAGGTGTCATCATGTTGGGAATCTTACAGGTGAAGGGAGCGCTCACTCATGGGCGGGCGTCGGCTGGCGGGAACCCTCCGTCACCATATCTCATTGGCGTCCTCTCTCTCGTGGCTCCTCCCGCTGCTACTAGGTTAGCCAGTCCCCGCCCACTCTAGAACCCTTCACCCACGCCCCATCCTTTCAACACGCCCACACTTACCTACACCACGTCGTCGTCACCACCGTCTCCCCCATCACCGCCCACGCCCCCTACGCCACAGCGTTACCATGGCAACATGTTTCCCATTTTCCACTGACCTTTTTCAACACCAAGTCTTCTAGATCCAGCCGCTGCCCCTCCATACACCCGCACCTCCCCTCCCTCCACACACGTTTTCTCATAATTAGTATTGGGGGTCACACTGCTTTTCACTGCATATCACAAGTCCTCTCTCACGTCACATGACTATGGCATTTAACCCTCACTCTAAATGTCCCCTATACATGCTCACCCTGTCCTATAGCATTAGGCCCTGTAATTCAAACCTATTAACTTAAGGGTTTATCTTTTCCTCTTCCAGGTATCCATTAGTCCTCGCCTCATCTAACCTTTAGCGAGGCTCGGGGTCACGCCCACCAAATGATGTACCTTCCCCAGTCATTTTCCATATTTGTTGTAAATTTCTCCGCGAATGCATTTTTATTTTCACCACGTACCCATCTAGATTCAGTTACTTCTTAGTTATACCCACAACTCTTCGCACAACTTTCTCCAACTTAAATATACCAGCAACACTTAAAAAAAGTAATAGCTCCCAACTCATGCATATAAAACAAGGCCAGAGAGATGTATAGGAGTAGGTGAACCCGGTAGTGGAATTGGTACTGAACATCACACAGAAGTGTAAGAAGTGCTCACGACACTAAATTTTTAACCCCAGGCAATTAAAGAGCAAGTGGACCTGGGTATGGAACCGGTGTACTGAACCCGGATCTGCAGACATCAACGAAAATTCAAGTGGTAATTTACGTTTTCTTACTAAAACAACGGCACACACTGCCGGCACAGGTTAAATGACCCACTAGCTTTGTCGGGGGGTCATTAAGCCAACAAAAGACCTGATCAGATTGGAACATACTCTTGACTTTATATTCTCAAATAATGACGAATCCACACCATTCAAGCAAGTAATAGACCTGATCACATTAGAAAATACTCTTGACCATATATTCACAAACAAGGTAAATCTTGCGCTGAGCATATTTGCATCTAACATGCCAACCTGAGCCCACAGCCTAATCGAACTCCAGAACTGCATAAAAATCAGATCAGAGTAAGCCGGCACAAATTATTGCTCAACACTCGTAAGATTAAGGCAAAAATGCTAAGTTTAAAATTGAAATACTACTACTGTATGAGAAAAATTATCCTAAAAAATAAACATTAACTCTGTAAAAAAAAAAAAAGTCTATATTCAAGAAATATTTGTAAAAAATACCTGGAAATATTATCACAGGCCTATCTCTTCT